TGAGCCACAAATTGTACCCATAGTTCCTTTTTCCACTCAACTGATGAAGGCAGGCCAGCCAGACGACATTTCGGAATTTCAGTGTTGTGTTTTCTTGAAGCGACACCCAACACCAAATCGTCAAAGGAAGCCTCAGCGCTACTCTGACGCACTTGACTTTTCACTCGTTGCGGGGGAGAGATTTGTTGTGCCTCGCCTCTACGCAGCCAGTCAGTCTCTTTCCAGAATAAAAAACACGGAAACTAACCTTAGAGACGGCAACATGTTGATGTTGTTGATGACGGTTAGAATTACGACGAAGATGACAAGATACTGGCCTTGCTGGTGATGACGATTACGATAAATGTGGTGGTGACGATGGTGCTGATGATGATGATGCTAATGGCGATGTGATGATACTGTTAATATTAATAATAATTCCTGCAGTGGTAACGATGAGGGTGACGGTGCCAATAGCGAGTCTGATAATAGTACTATTATTATTATTAATATTATTATTAATATTAAAAACACTTTTCGTGTGGGTGATTATGACGATGGTGGTGATAATGATAGTGTTAATAGTGTTGATGTTGGTGATGACGAAAATGTTGAATAAGCAGTGAAAATACTGTGCAAAGGCAAGAGTGACAGCGAGCTTGCTTTTGCTGCGATTCTCCATCCCTCGAAATTGTGGCTGTGAGGTGCAGCAGGGCAGGCGCAGAAGCGATTGTTCGCTGAAGAGACCAAGCGCTTTTGAGTTGCCACGACGTCCACCGCCTGACCCAGGGCCGGTTGAGAGGGTGTCTTGGACTCGTTTGCGCGCCAACTCGATGAAGAGAATGCTGAAAGCGGAATAGGCCGACAATCACAGCTTCTCGGGAGACACAAGAACCTACAGCCCGTCTTTCGGGGGTGTCGGCGACATGGCAACATGGTCGCTGAGAAAGCGAGGTCCGATCGCCTTTTTGGCGCCCGGCAGCGTCTCGAAGGGTGAGGAGACGAGTAGAGCAGTTGAAGCGGTGGTAGCTGACCGGACGAGAGGCGATTAGAGGACCAATTGAGCGCATTCCTCGCCTCACTTCCCTCCATTCGCACCCTTCTCGCCCTCTACCGTCCACTACACTCGTCGAATTTTTCCACTTCCTTATCCCCTCAGCTCTCTGTCTCTCTCTCTCTCTCGCTCTCTATTCCCTCCGGTCCTTTCTCCATTTATCTACTTTTAATTCGTACCCTCGCTTCACTCTCTCTACTCCATTCTCCACTTCCTTAACTCCCTCTGCTTTATCCATCTCTCTCGTTCCTCCCCCCTCGAGTGGTTAAACGTTGTTTACTTGCATTCCATTTCTATAGCCATAAAACCCTATGGGCACAGCAAATTTGTCTCCGTACCTCTGCGATTGTGTTCCACTCCCCTCGCTCTTCTCAAGTTGCAACCATGGCGATGCGTTCTCCTCGTCTCGATTCAACCCCTGGCACGGCCGAGCTCGCCATCTTGCAAGTCTGCAAGTACGCCAGAGACCCGCTTATTGTCTGGCTGTCTGATACTCGTAAGCCCGTGACCAAAACAGAGGCTCGTATAGGAGACCTTCAGACGACCTTCCACTCGGCGAGAGGAAGAAACCGGGGTCAAAGGGTCATGGGGTCGCCATTCTGCGCAAGGTCGAGTAGCCCCAGGCTCCTGTCAACAATTTGCAACAGTCGCAGCCATTACGTTGGTTCGTTTCTACCCTCTTGTCGGTTGGCCAGACCAAAGTGAGCCGCCAACCCTCGTGGCGCGTTGGCGGGGCTGTCGACCGAGCACCAAAAGTGGACACGTCGGGACTCAAACTCGAGTGGGGCGAGTTAAGAAGGGACCGACGCGTCGTCGGCCAGTGCATTTCAAAGATATGAAGACCAAGATGTTGTGACCTTTTGTGTGGTCGTAGTCTCCTTTTATTGTATAGAAGTTGTGTGAACTTGTTTTCACAACTTGGTCATGTCGGTAGGAAGACTTAGAGGAACGCACCTTGTCCGGAGTCCATTGTATGCATCATCATTTCCAGAGTAGG